TCGAATCAAAAAGCTAAAGACAAGCTTGATAATAATATCAAGGGTATTTAAAATAAAACTTCATTATTTAATGGACGATTGAATAAAGAACAAATATTTTGGTGTTGCAACAGCTGGTAAGTGGAAACTGTTCTAACTTTCAAAAAAAAGTAGAAACTGTTTTACTTTAAGTTGATATTTGGACATCACCAAATAAACTAATTTTTCATCAAATAATATTTAAACCTTTAACATTATTATTATTATTATCCAGTGACTTATACCATTAAATTTCAAAAACGAGAGTTACCCTATGTGCATATCCTCCTTTGGCTCCATTGTGATTATAAGGGTTCATCACCAAGTGATGTAGATAAAATTATAGCAGTCGAACTATTTGACAAGTTTGTTGACCTTCTTAAGTACAAAGCTGTTGTTGAATTCATGGCCCATGGCCCATGCAACCTTGGCTAACCAAGCTCCCCCTGCATGATCAAAGGATTTTGTTCAAAATACTACCTAAAAGACTTCCAAACAAAAACTATAGTAAATAATGATGGATTTCTAGTACATTGAAGAAGAGATATCCCTAATAGTGTAAGAACCAAGAATAATATTGAATTAGATAATCAATATGTGGTTCCCCATAATAAAGATCCGGCTATCAAGTATCAAGCACACATTAATGTCGAAATTTGTGGTCAATCTCAACCTATAAAACACCTTTTCAAGTACATCAACAAAGGTCCTGATAGAGCCTGAGTCATCCTAGAAAATAAGAACTCAAATGGTCAAGAACACAATAGTCATGCAAATTTGACTTGGATTAAAGAACAACAATAAGAATCTATAAAGATCAATGAAATCAAAACTTATTTAGATTGTAAGTACTTATCAACATACAAAGCATGTTGGAGGCTTTTTGTTTTTCTAATACACCATAGAGAGCCTACTATCCACAAGTTAGTTGCCCACCTACCTGAATAATAAAACATTTATTTTCGTGATCATGAGAGCATATAAGGGTTATCCATAGGCCAGATATTAATAAAATAACCTTCACTAAATGGATGATTTGAAACAAAATAGATGTAAACACTCACCATCTACTTTATGTTGATTTCCCAACTGAGTATGTTTGGCATTAACAAGAATGTAAATGGAAAAGACGAAAATAAGGTAAGTCTATAGGTAAGATAAATTATGTACCCCCAGCATCTGGAGAGTTGTATTATTTACATATGTTGTTAAATGTAGTTAGAAGAGTAACTAACTTTGAACACATTAGAACTATGGATGGGATCACTTATGGAACTTATCAAGAAACCTGTCCGGTTTTAGGTTTGTTAAAAGATGATCTAATGTGGAATGATGCAATTGTTCAAGCCTCTCAATGGGTTCCTAAGGAACAATTAAGACAATTATTTGTCATCATCAGCATCATGTTTTGTCAAGTTGCAAATCCTATTAACCTTTGGCAAAATCATTGGAAACAATTTTTTGGAGATATTGAATATAGGATTAAGCAAGCCTTTGGAAACTTACAAAACACAATCCTTGAAAATGATCTTAAAAATTATGTTTTGATTTCCTAGAAGATCTCTTCAATAAAAATTATGGTTCATTATCTGAATTTAGATTACCAATGCCAAAGCAAGGAAATATCATTTATGACCATAATAGATTAATACATGAAGAAATGAATTACAACTTATTTGACCTTCAACAATTACATTTTAATTTAATTGCAAACTTGAATATTAAACAAAAAGAAATATATCAATGCATCAAACAATCAGTTGACAATGATATGAAGGACAAATAATATTTGTGTATGGATATGGTGGTACAGGAAAAACTTATCTATGGAATACAATTATATTAGGCATTAGATCTGTAAGCAAGATAGTCTTGGTTGTTGTCTCTTCTGGTATCACTTTTTTGTTATTTCTTGGAGGTCAAACTGCTCACTCAAGATTCAAAATCTCTCTTAATATCAATGAATATTCTATATTCCAAATAAAAAAAGAAACTCAATTAGCAAGATTAGTCCAAACCTATAGTCTAATAATGTGGGACGAGAGACTTATAGTCCATAAACATTGTTTCAAAGCCTTAGACAAAACTCTTAGAGATATACTGAACCAAGATTCCAACGAAACAATTGACAAACTTTTTGGAGGAAAAACAATTGTACTAAGAAGAGATTTTAGGCAAATCCTACCAATTATTGAATTTGGTCATAAAACATATATTACAAATGCTGTAATTAACTAATCACCATTATGGTCTAAATGTTAGGTGTTTAAGTTGAAAACTAACATGAGATTATTAGGGCTAGCTTAAGCAAAGAATAAAAAAAAAGAAATTGAAACATTTGCACAATGGCTATTAGATTTTAGTGATGGAAACCTACATTCAATGAGAATGCTAGATAACGATGATCAATCTAATTGTATACCATTACCAGATAATTTGTTGGTCCTTATAATAGATAACCCAATCAAAGATATCATTTTTGTTGTTTAGAATGACTTTAATAAATTCCATGTTGATCCTGAATACTTTAAACCAAAAGCTATAGTTACACCCTATAATGAAATAACTAACTCAATAAAAGAATATGCATTAAATCTATTTCTAAGAAACACAAAAACCTATTTAAGTCATGATTCAATGTCCCAAGCAAGTGACCACGTATCAAACCATCAATTACTACACCCAACAAAAGTCAAGACCAAACCCTTGAAAAAATAGGCATATATCTACCTAAACCTGTATTCACGCATGCTCAATTATACGTTGTTCTTTCTAAAGTCACATCGCAAAACGGATTGCATATTATGGCCATAGATGAGAATGGCTCAACTATTAATGAAACAAAAAATATTGTTTTCTAAGAGATATTTGATTGTTTAGTTTGAGGTTTGTATCAATTCTTATCTACAAGAAAATGCTCATGCTACTTTAACAATGATCGGTCATATTTTCTTCCAAAATTACATTTAGTTTGAGGTTTGGATTCTATTTATCATTTTATTTTGTTCATGAATATTATTTTTTTCCCCTTGCAAATTAATTGTTATGTGATCTTTAAGATTAAGAGTAACAATCTTTAGTGCTATCCAATTTATGAGTATGTTTATAACCTTTAGAATGCAAAAACATTTATATCCCATTAGTACCAAGTTTATAACATTTTAGTTATTAAATTTCTTTACGTATAAGCTTTTCATTCAACTTTTTAAAGTTATTTGGATCTGAGATTTGTCATCAAGAATGTTGGAACAAGGGCATTATTTGCATTGTATTTCTATAGCTATTGCTTTATATTTTCTTTAAATTGATAAGATGTTCACACATGTATAGACGAATTGATGTCTATAAATTAAATTTGTATTCTATAAATTCTATTGATACCAATTTACAATGAAAAACTTGAATTTATAATAACTACTCTTTACATACTGATCTTTAACTGCATTTAATCTTACTTAGTTTAGAAAATTTTCTAAAGCAATACAACCATTCAAAAACAACTCCACTACAAAACAATTGCCTATGCCTTGATGTCATTGAATCCTGAAATCTGATTGACAATTAATACTCATGATGCCTTATATTTTGTGCCAAACCAACAAGATAAATTCAACACTATCGTCACAACTTTTGTAAATAATATCAGAGAAATGTGTAGCAACACATTTCCAAACATTGGTGAACAAAAATGAATGGAGTATAAACACCTAAAAATTAGTCTTACATCTCCTCAAATCAAAAAACGAATTTTGTATATCTAAATGAGCAGTTCCTAATATCAAAAATATGATTTGCACTTACAGCTTCTGTTAAAAAATTTAGCATTTTTTATGAATATAGATTTACATGCACAATTTATTATACAATTGGTTTTAGAACCCGACGCGAAGCATGTAAGGGCATAGCTCCTTAACCCCTAAAATTTTTAAAAAAAATTTTCATAACATATAGAATTTTTAAACTTTTTTGTATATTCTCTTATTGGCCACCTCAATATAATATTTTTTTATTTAATAATTAATATAAATAAATAACAATGAAATAATTTCACATATCTCACTCAACTTTAAAGGTTTTTTAATTTTTTTCTTTCAATTTATATTATTATTATTTAATTTTGTCATTTCTATTCTATCTGCTCATATATTCTAAGCTTTTATAGGATTTTTTTCTCAAATTTCTACAAACCATCAACTATATTCTTTTTCTTTCTTTTTTTGTTATGTCATATATGATATCTATCTTCTACTTGCCATGTTCTTCTTTTATCTATTGCACAAATTTTAGTTTCTATAATTTTAATTTTTAAAAATTAATAAATTATTATATAATTCTCAAATATAAGTTGTAATGTTACATTGCTATTTAAAATTTCATCAATGCATTCTTCTCTTATTAATCTTGATTATGTAAGAGGAAATTAACTTGAGTATTTTTTTTATGTGTTTTACGTTTTATATTTAGTTAAAATGAAATTATTTTGAATATATAATATTTAAATAATCTTAATTATATAAAAAAATTATTAATCTTATATATATCGTATTTAATTATTTATATTGTACACGTTATGATTTTTAATTTAATTTTGCATTACTATTACCAATCTTTTGATTGTTGATTGAATCTAACATATAACTTTTAAAATTTTTAATCTTTACTCTTCTGTGTTTAATCTTTTCAATAAAAATTGACTAGCTCTGTCCCTAGAAGCACAAGTCCAATTCTAATAAATCATAATAGTTATTTTTTATTATATTTTATAAATTAAATTAAATAATAATTATTTTATTTTTTTCTTACTCTATTTTATTATCATAAAATAACTATTTTATTATATTTCACGGAACAAGCTTACAATAAACATTTTAAATAGGTTTTGTTTTGTCTTTGCAAATGTCTGAATAATTAATTTTGCTTTAACAACAAACAGCGTACATTGGTGACTAGACAGCCTTTTAAAATTACGCCCTTTATAACTGGAAACGAGCAACGAAGCAACACAGGACAAAGACACCAACGATCTCTATCTATCTATCTATCTGTTGTTGGGAGATCAATGCAAAAATGAATCTCCAAACTCAATCCTTGTCAACCCGCTTTCTCCTGCCACTCTTTCCTCCAAAACCCAAATCCCTTCCTCCAAAACAAAGCCCATTTCCCAGAATCTCCTTGACGCTATGCTCGCTTTCCACTGTTTCAGACCAAACAACAACCCATGCCAACCACAAGCCATTTCCAGCCGAGGTTTCCAGGACCATCATGGAATTGTCTTCTATGGGGACCCTCTCCACGCTAGCCCAAGATGGCTGGCCCTTTGGCGTTGGTGTACGCTTTGCTGTGGATGCTGAGGGGACCCCTGTTTTGTGCTTGGATCAGGCTTCTAGGCAGCTCTCTGTTGATAAGCGGTCAACCCTCCATGTTCAGGTCAATTTTCTGCATCCACATATCTGTCAATTTATTTCATACAGGCAGCATTTGGTTTTTTTTGTTTTACTTGGAGAAGCAAAAAGTGCTGAATTTGTAGTTTTGAAGAGTTCAATGTTAAAAATGTAATGCGAATATTTCTGGAGGGACAGTGACATGTTTTACATGTATATTTGAAGAGATTGAATTGATAGAATTTACTTTGAATCAGTTAGAGCAGTGTGGATTGCGGACTCCTCAGTGCACGGTACAGGGCAGTCTTGACAAACCAGCAGATGCAACGGTTTTGAGGGTAAGTTTTTTTCTGTTTTGAAGTTGACATTGCTTTATAACTTGCAGAGGACAACTTACCATATCTATGTGGCTGAAGATTTTGGAACAGTATTCTGAGACTAATATTTGAGACATCAACCATCTTACATTGTTTTGTAATGGTAATGATAAGTCCAGTAATATTTTATGTTTTGAGGACAAATTGAGTAGATAGGATAGCTCGCTGCTTACAAGCTGCCATAACTTTCTCAAACACAAGTAGATATTTTATGATTACGTCTGCCTTGGCCCTTGTGTATGGTGTTGGTTTATGTAGGATTCATAGCCGTACTTGATATTGACTTTTAATCATGTTAACTTAAATCTTTTAGAATCCAAATATTTCATGTTGTTTATCAATTGTCCTGTGGTTTCTTGATTTGAATACAAATAACTTGAGCTGAAGCTGATTGGGTTTTCAAATGAAGAGCTTGTTTAGCCCAGAGCTTCTCTTTTTAAGTGTTGTCTAAGTAGAAAGGTTCCAGAAATGCAGTAAAGAAAAGTTAAGATGGCCGTTTTGTAAACTTGATCAGAAGCATTATAGGATGTAATATATTTGTGATAATGCTGTGACGGGCTGAGATTACTAAAAGTCTGTTGAAGTGCTTTTATAATTAAGCTATTTGGCAAACATTTTTGCAAAGGTGCCTCTAATTATTAAATAATTAAATAAAATAAAGGTCAAATTCAATAAAACCAAATCGTAAGTGTCAAAATGAAAGAAATATGTTAACTTTCATATTTATCAAGAACAAAAGTAAAGCTAAGAATAAAAAAGATCTTAGTTGTGTGTCCCTGGATGCTGTAATCTTTGTCTCTTTAATTTTATACCCTAAAACTTGCAATCTGAACCATGCTTTGTGGTGAATGAAGTGTCCATTTCTCCTTTGGTGAAACTTGTAGTTACTATACCTAAGTGTTTACCTCTTGGTTCATTTTTCATTCAAACGAGCTCTTCATTGTAAAAATCATGTAAGCTTAACATAAACAGGAATAGTGAAAGAAATTTATATTGAGGATAGAACTTGAGTGGAATTTCTATTTTCTTTTTTCAGCTACAAGACTTCCTTTTTCTCTTGGTGTGTGTTTGAAAGCTATAAGACTTTCTTAAAGTTTAAGATCCGCTTGAGTTTCTTGTCACCCATAGTATTGAAAATTATTCTCAACTTTTTTTTTTCGCTTTTTGGTATTGAATAAGTCCAAACATTTCGTACGCTTTTCCTATGAATTTTGGGTAGATGAAATAAGTATGGTTATCACTGGTGGGTTAATAGATGAAAATGAGAGGTAAATGGTAGTAATTGTCTTCCTCCCCCCGCCCCCTTATTTTCTCTCTCTCTCTCTCTGAGAATTTGCTCTGAACCTAAATCAATTATCTTATTTGGATTTAAACTGAATAGTGCACCCTCTGTATGCCTCTTACAAGTGGGAGACTAACATTTGATGTGTTTCCTGTTTCTGCCTACATGGTGCTTAGCACTTATCTCTTAGCCCCTCTTCATCTCTCTTTTTTTAGAATAGGATCTGATCCTAAATCAATTTTCTGTTTGAATTCTAAATTGAATATTTCTCCTCCAGCGGCTTCATACAGTGTGGAAGAAGAGGTTTGGAGAAGTTGCAGATGAAGGCAGTCTATATATTGTTGATGTGGAAAGAGTACTTCAGATGGAAGACTTCAATGAGGTATACAGAGAATTTGCTGTCTAGTATGCTTTATGTGTAATAATTTGTAGCCTACTGACTTATGTTAGAATGTTTTATTTTAATTAATTGGAATAAACTTGATTGTATTAATTTTATAGTAAATATGCTGTCAGTAACTCTTGCAGGATGGTATATGGGTCACTTCATCAGCTTATAGAAATGCAAATCCTGATCCACTTCGAGACTTTGCTGAAGGGATTGTCGAAGAAATTAATACCAATAACATGGAAGATGTCCTTCGCTTTTGCAATATATATGTGGATTTGGACTTCCAGGTTCATATCCACCCATAATAAACCTTTTTCTAGATAATTTTCTACATCAGTGTTGAGTCCTGCTTGTCTAGTGTTTTGTATAAATCCACAAATCAGTTGCATTGCCATCCTTTTATTTTTCTCTAAAAATTGAGAGGCTGTATTTTGCTTAAATTTTCATTTGTTATAGTTCCCTTAGGAAATCTAATTCCAAAGTTCTTTTCTTGCACTCCTTTTTACCTTTCTGTCAACTGTCTTATCCTATGTCGTTACACAATGTATGGCCTACAATATGTCAAATTAAACCAGTTGAATGCAAATGGAAAAGAGGCATGATATGGCTCTTGGTTCTGTGAAAGAGTCATAGCAAAGTGTATCCTGAACCTCACCTAATCTTTTTTTGAGATTTGTTAAGAGAGTTTATATTTGGTTACAGCCAGTGCGGTTAGGAAGGAATTTAAATGTTGTGTCTTGAGTTTTGTCTGCTGCCAAGAATTGGAGTATCATCTTTAACCAATGGAAGACATTAGTTGAGCATCAGCATCATGATCTGTTATTAGATAATGAGGATCAAGTAGCTAATATGCTGTTTTAAAATGACACTTACAGTTGTAAAACTGTTTAGGGCCTCCTTAAGAATTTATAATTGTTTGGACAATGTTGGAAACTCTAGTATTTGCCTTACTCAATTTTTAATTTGATCACAGTCTTCTGGTTTTGGATTTGTGTAAAGTTTGATGATAAATATGAGTTTGAGAGATAGAATTTCACTTGCCTTATGTAATGCATCTTTACCTACAATGCCTCTTTTTTCTACAAATTTCATTATGCAAAAGTTTATGATGTGTGATTTCACATGTTTATTATGTTCTTCTGAAAGACTAAAAGTGCGTTAGCTTGTAATAGCATGTTCTGGACAATGGAAAGCCACTATTTCACTGGGATTCATTACATCTTACAAGTCCCAATGACACTGAAGTTGCATGCTTGCCTATTACCTGGAATGTAGATCCAGATTTAAGTTTGTCTAATACTTCTATGGGATTCCATATGGCATGGCAGGTATTGGAAGCAAAGATGATATGGGTCGATCGTCTTGGATTGGACATGCGTATTTACTCTCCTCAGAAAGGTGTATTTGATGTACGAATTCCTTTCCCGGGGGAAGTGACTGATGAGAAGGGTGCTAAGTCCTCATTTAATGGTATGTCTCAACTTGCTTGGGAGGTGGAGAAAAATTTCCATGTCCCTGACATTGAGAAGGTGAAACAATTGAAGCAAATTACCTACAGTGGGGTGCAATAAACTGGTTTACCTTATTTATTTATTTCTTTCATTGCAAGTCATGTGTATTTGGGTTTAACCTATGGCCCTCCATTTTCCTCATCAAAACTTTAATTTATCCCAAGTTTTGTTTTTTTTTTTCTTTGAAAAGAATTTTATCCCATGATCATTAAAGTTTTTGAAGCTTACCATAATATGTTCATCTTAATAAATTCTATCCAAATAAATGACGGAAAAATAAGGTAATAGTCAAACGATTTTTCGCCTGCCTAGACCCAACATTGGGTTATTATTTTTAATATCTTAGACCTGAAATATATATATATATATATATATATATATATATAATTTGCATTTGATTTAATCTGATCTGAACATAGATCTTTTGATTGATTTTATTTAATATGATTTTCAAGAAAAACTTATTTGTAAATATAAGCTACATCTTAATTACATATAAATGTGATATATTATTAAATTAATCTCTTAATCAACATATTAAATAACAAATCTATTAATATAATAGTTATGATTCAGAAAAACAGGGAAAATAAAAGAATAGATTTTCATCGAAGAGAATAATAATCAGACAATATGAGAAAGAAAAAAAGCTAATTCAACTTTGTAAACAATATGAACTTGATTCGTTTACACTAAGGTAGATCTTACTAAGTTAAAGAATAACAATTTTTTTAAAAAAAAAATTATTACATAGCTTAAGAGGTAAACAATATGAACAATGTTAAGGCTAAATGAATGGCTCTGGGTTGAATAATTATTTGAAGTAAGTCTTAATGTGAGGGTCTGAATGATGTAGGAAGAAAGGTGAATGTGGATCTTCAATCGGTGAGACAATCAATCAAGGATTTGAGGAAATTGACGACATGAGTTTGAAATTGAATAGGAATGAATGAATCAATTCGTCGGTTGATTCCTTCAAGAATGAAAATGAATCGTGTTTATGGAATGGTTTTTCATGATCAAATTCTAACCTAATACTAATACTCTAACACCACGTAACAACAAAAAGGAATTAATTACTTTATCTAACTTAATTATATCTATATTCCCACTCATTTAATGTTAAACTATAATTTCCACTTTATCTAACTTGTTCAAGAATACAAATTACTTTTAAATATTTTACACAAAGAAATAATTATTGGGTTTTTCTATTTTTACAATAAATGGTATAACTTTTTACCTCTACTCTTATACATTTAAGTTAAAATTTTAGAAAGATTAATTTTAACTTCATGGTGCATCTTATTTATTTATGTTAAATTATAATCAAGTTATGTTTATTCTTACCTTTCAATGCATCTGAAATCAAAGAAATAAAAAAAAAATGAGAAAGCAAGTTGAGAGCCGTTTTGCAAGTAGGCATGGAGGAGATGGAGCAACAATAGGGGTGAGCAAACATAAACTGAACCGAACTAAAATGAGTTTGGTTTTTTCAGTTCTGTTAGTTCGGTTTTTCAATTAATTCAGTTAAGATAGTTCAATTAGTAAAAATATTTCAGTTCGGTTTCGGTTAGGGAAATTACTAACCGAACTAACCGAACCTAAATAAGGGCATTATGGAGATTTTACATGAAAAAATCCTAAACCTAAATGGCTAATCTCATCTCTTTATTTGGTTCCCCTCTCTATCGTCCCGTCTCCACTCTCCACGCTCTTCTCTTCCCCTTCTCTCATCCGTCCGTCCTGTCTGGCTATCTCCACTCTCTATACTCTCCAGTCTCCACCCTCTTCTCTTCCCCTTCTCACTATTAAATTTTCTCACTCTTAAACCTTCAATAGATTCTCTCCTCAACGCCTTCTCCCTCTGAAGGTGGGGTTTCAGTCGAACTCGTGGCTTATCGCCTGCAGCTCTGTCGCCAAAACTAAAACTGGAACTTCTTCCCCGATAGCCCAAACCAACGTCGTCTTCGTCAATCCAGTTTATGTCCCCACGCCGGTTAATCAAGACACTCGTACTCCTCAATCCTCACAGCTAGTAATTGGAGTTGTTGTTTAATGATTTTTTAATAATTTTAGTTGAAAATTAGTAATTTTTATATTCAAGGCTTAGTTTGACTTAGGCGTTAATTTTTTCTTCTTCCTTTCCCAAAAATGGTTGAGTTTGATTTGTTATCATTGTAAATAAAATACTATAATTTGATTAAAGATGAATTATTATCATGGATTTCGTTATTTACAAGAATCATATTTTCAATTATTTATTATTTAAATATGTTTTGTTCTTTGCTTTTGTTCTTTGAAATTAAAAGCAAGTAGTAAAGTAAAGCATAAGACTTTAAAGAGCAGATTTTTAATAAGTGCATTTTGAAGCTTAAATTTAAAGATTTTTCTAGGTTTGTAATTTTTTTTAGTTTAATCTATTAAGTATCAAGGAAGTGTAGTTTTGCTATAGTCTAAATTATCTTTGATAATATCAATATTGGGTTCCTCATACTACCATTCATTGTAAAAATTCCTACTTGGAATAGAGAGGAGAGCAACTACTCACTAGGTGAATATGGATATTAGGAAACACATATTAAACTATATTATACTTTGACCACTTGCTTTCCCAATCCAAAATAACATTACATTACTGCCTTGATAAAATCTAAATTAATCAACTACACAACTAAAAGTAGGTACAAGTTATGCCTATGTTGGCAGCTTTTTGGTGTTGAATTTCAAATAAAAGGGCCAAGAAACCATTGCAAAGAAAAAGGAAAAAAGAGATAGAAAAATTGATATTTTTGTGCCTGTAGTCCAAATTTTATTTTATTTTTTGTGTGTGTGGGATAATGAACCTCATTTCATAGGGTGGCGATTTCCCCTTTTGTTGTGATTCTGTAAATGGTCACTAATTTAGCTTTTCAACAACATGAAGGGCAAGCAAAAGTCTTTGTATAGCAATTCATGGACACGAGAATAAAATAAAAAATAATGTTTATATTATTAACTTTTTTTACTTTACCTTTTACTTTTTAAATAAAAAGATAAAATGTTTGCTATTAGTGATAGATTCTTGATTATATTTGCTCATATTTTTTTAATATGTGCTATTAGTGATAGATTCTTTAATAGATTCTTCATTCTTGAATAACATATTTGCTAATTAATTAATTCTTTTTGAGTGATAGATTGAAGATTTCAATGGCAAGTGAAAGCGATAATCCAGCTCCTACTCCTAGTGATGCTACTACGCAGCCTACGCCTATTGGGATACCGTCATTGTCACCAACACCAACTGCACAGCAAACTATAATCTCCACTAATGAAAGTGATGCTGTTAATTCTAAGAAACAAAAAGCACTTCCACCAAGGCCTGAAGTTTGGAAACACTTCACTAGATTCGTCAATGATCAAGGTGAACAAAATGCTAGATGTAATTATTGTGATAGGGTACTTTCTACTAATAGAATGGCACAACTTCATTGAAGAATCACATGAATTCTTGCAAAAAATTTTCTAGTTCTGCTAATGATTTTGCTCAAACTGAGTTAGCTTTCAATCAGAGGATGGGTCAATAGGAACTTGAAAATTTAGTCAAGAAGCTATTAGAAAGTCTCTAGCTAAGATGATCATCAGAGATGAGTTACCTTTCAAATTGTAGAAGGGGAAGGATTTAAGGAATTCATGTCAACTTCATGTCCTATATTCATTGTACCATCACGATGACTGTTGCTAGAGATTGCTTTAACCTTTTTGTTGATGCAAAGAACCATGTCAAGCATATATTGAGAACATCTTCCTTTAGAGTTTCTCTGACCACAGATATATGGATATCAATTCAAAGAGAGAATTATATGTGTCTTACGGCTCACTTTATAAATAATGATTGAAAATTGCACAAAAGAATTTTAAACTTTTGTCCCATTTATAGTCACAAAGGAGAGGCCATTGGAAAAATGATTAATAAATATTAGCGTGATTGGGGGATTAGTAAGGTTTTCACTATTACTGTTGATAATGCTAGTTCCAATGATGTTGCAATCTCACATATGAAGAAAAAATTGAACTTATCAGGAAATAGTTTTTTAGAAAGTAAATTTCTATATATAAGATGCATTGCACATATCATTAATCTCATTGTCACTGATGGATT